AAGATTATCTTCCTAATGATTAAAAAAAAGGAGAAATTATCCCAAAAGACAATAGAAAATTAAATCTATGCTTAACTTTTATCATTATAAATCAATGCATCATAGATCATCTAGAAACATAAAGATAACAGACAAAATGTAGAAATGCCAAATACAAAGGAGAGTCTCAATTTTAAAAACTCCATAGAAGGTCATATATAAGAAAGAAAGAATACCTTTTAATGCCTTCTTGAAGGACTTTTGAGTAAGCTTTTCCCCAATTCTGACACCAGGGACCCTGTTACCAACAACCTTCCCAGAATCTTTGGCAACTTCATCATCCTTGAAGTTCCTACTTTTTTTAGGCTTTGATTTCTTCCCTGCTATACATGGGAAAAGATAACTAATGGTCTAAGAGAAAAAAAGCAAAGATGAACTACACATTAAACCTTCAATTGATTATACGTTCTAGGGACTCATATGATTATATGAAAAGAAAAATAACATCAAATGCAAAGGAGAAACATGCTTACATTTTAGCCTTTTGGGGGAGGAATCAACAGTGTGTTTTTCCTCACTTCCAAAATCCTGGTCTCTGCTACCAACAACTTTCCCAAGATCCTCAGTGAAGGCTGACTCCATCTCTCTGAGAGGCTTTACAGCATCATCTGCAACCACATCTCCTTGAGGATCAATGATTCATCATACCATAAAGATATCTCTAGAACTAACATAATTAAATTGGATAAGAAGGAAAATTTTAGAAGACATACTATGAAGCCTCTCGATGGCCTTCTGTACTTTTTGACAACTTACTTTCTCGTCTGATAAATGATCACTTGACGAACTGCCTTTACCTGCTGCTTTTAGATTCCTAGCACCCAAAGATAATTCATTCATGTCCTTTTTCTTTAAACTCCTTCTAATCACAAGAGGAGGTTCAACATCAGCACTTTCATTTTGTGATACATCTCTGGTAAGCTCATGTTTTCTTCGCTTTCCAAGAGGTTGCTTACACGACCTAGAGTTGGCTGGAGTCATAAGATGAGCAGAAGATCTCAACTTTTTTTGTGCCAGCTTTTTCTTGTGGTTATGGCTATGCTTGCCCTTCTCCACCACATTTCTGTTAGAATCACCGCGTTCCTTTAAACCACGTTGCAATATAAAGAACTGACTGATAACACTGTCTATGAACAATGATTTCCACTCCCTTAGAACATCATCATGCAGCTTCTGACGGAACATTGCCATGGCAACATATCCTCCAATCTTAGGGATACACTCCTCCGACCTTGAAGGTCTAAATTTACAAACGTTTGCTGGTACAACACTTCTAGCATTGCCTTCAAATCCAGGTGGTAATTGCTCATCAATTTCTTCATCATCCACCATATCGCCTATAGACACACATGATTTCTTGAATATACTAGCCAAAAGAGTAGAAATAGAATTCTGAGACTTGCTATGAGCGAAGAATTCGCTAGCCGGTAGTAGATTTTGAGAATCATTTGACAAATTCTTTTCAGCAGAAATTCCATTTGAATCTACGTTCAGTTTGTCACATACACCATCGGAATTGTGGTCACCCATGTGGAAATAATGACTGAAAGAAATTGTTGCCTGCAACAGTACAAGCTTTTTCCTTAGATATGAACTCTCAATGCACATGGAAAGACGCGCACAAAGAAATGCAAAAGTATTTCAAAATAGAGCAAAAATAAACATAAATTCTTGCCTCATTTGATTTTTTATCTTTCGATGAATTAACTACTTTATTCACTTCATCCTCAACAAGGATCTTTACATAATTGGAGAGAAATGCTTTTGTGGATGAATGAAGCTCTGTTTCTACGCCTTCCAGAATGCATTTTATATCATCAACCGTACCACTGTTGCATGATGAACTGTTCTGTTTGGATGACTTCTCTCCCACAGGTAGAGATGAAGTAATGCAAGACAACTGAGCCTGACTATCTAAGGCATTTTTCAGAAACTCAAACCCAGGAGGGCAATCAATTTCACAAGCAGAGGATTCCAGCGGAGATACTGACTGTGAAGTAGTGAAACAGAAATTCATGTACCTTTATGCACAGAACTGAAATCAAAAAGAAAAAAGAAAAACTAGAAACAGGTTTATCACTCACAGGTCCATCCATTACGTCAATACTCTTTTCACAATGGTCCCTGCAATCACTAGTAGCGGTAGAAACCTCTGAAGCACAAGACCAAAGTTTTCTCCTTCTCCAGGCAGATGAATACTCTACAGCAGGATCATAAAAGACAGCATTCCACATAACTTGCATGCAATAGTCAAAAAGAACTCGACAAACAGCTGAATATGAATCCCAAAAGTTTTCAATGTTTCCCACAGACTTTCTAATGATACGAGAGTCATTAGATACACAATTAACGCATTTCTGGTGAGATACATTTTGAGAAGTTGCTGCCTCACCCTCTGAAACATGATTCTCCTCATTGCTAATTTTGGACTGCTAAACAACAAAAATAGCAATTTATCAGAGAGATTTAGGCTCAGCGTCAGCAAAACATCTGCAAATCATGTATATTACCGTTCCAGCATCCATAGAGCAACTGACAGCAGCTTGATCCATTGATTCAATATTCTTTTGGGAGAAATTAGCTGACTCAATCTTAACATGTTGAGAATCTTTCTTAGTATCATAAAACTCTAAAATGATGCTGTGGATGATCTCATCTACCACAACCCTACGAGCTGTTTTCAGTATTCCATTATGCAGCTGAAATGACACTGCTTCAGAAATTTCAGATATGATATTGCCCCCTGAGCCAGTTGTTGGTACATTTGCTACCAGCATCTCATTGTATTTGGCTTCAGAATACAGTGCAAACTGACCTTGAGCTAATCTCCATGCATTGATTATACATGATAATGTCACAGGACTAAATTTAGCCTGAGCATGATATACCTGCAGAAGGGTATTATTATAAGACCAAATAAGCAAACATAAATAATATAGTAGATGTATAAAAACATTCATCAGAAGAGGCAAATGGGAAAAAATCTAAATACACGTAATAAAGGAGAATCCACCACCAGAATCTATAAATTCACATTCTAACTTCTAGATGTCCAAGATAAGATATAATGAATTAGTAAAAAAAAATTCTTATTTCCGAATTTTCTGCACCTACCTGACCAAAGCCTCGTGTCCCCCTGATTAAAAACAGTTTGCATCAATCAATAATAATATTTCACTCCTAGCCAGAACTGTTAAATTAAGCTCCTAATCAAGCTGCCAAACATGATAGACACATACATCCATAATCAAATCTATCATCACAGGACTGAATGGTCTTAAGGGTCTAAAATGGTAATAAAATGACAAATGCATTAGAATTTAGTATGCAGTTACGCAAGGAAAAAATTGTATAGAAAATTCGAGACAATTAGTTATGATCCAAGATTATCTTAAATCCAGTATTCCCAATGCATAGTATCCTTAAAAGCTTACCATAACTGAATCTCGGATATACCCGTACTGATGCCATGAATATAATTGTGAAAGAGAATATGGTCCATGCTTCCTACCTTCACCATCCTCAATAAACCAACAAACATCTTCTCCTCTCTGGAACAAAGCATCAAAAAACAGGAATGCAAATCAAGAGAATCCCTATGAATGTATATCCAAAACATATCACAAATGAAACAGGATGCTACAACTACAAAAGCAATTATACCGGTAATGTAAATGGTGTAACGCAGCTAGCTGGTTCAGGAGTCACTGTGAAGTTATTGGGATTATAACTGTTACAGTTAACATGGGTTGACAACTCCGAGTCACCGTGAACAGCAGCTCCGGCAGCATGGCTAACAACATTCCTTTGTCCCTGGGCTGCTGAATCTACAGTACACGAGGTAGGATAATTTGAAGGACTGACCGTGTTAGTTGTGACCATACTCAAATATGCAAAACCAGTTGCAACATGGTTAGGAAACTGTCTGAAGTACTTCAAAGGCACGGGGTTCAGTAAGGTTTGATTGATAACAGGATACACAGGAAGTTCATCTGGCAAGAAACCAGTAGATAAACCATCGTATAACTGTTGTTGAAGATATGGACCACACATCTGACCATGCTCGTTTAGGTACATCCATCCACTCACAAAAGTCGACGAGGCATACCCCAATAAACCCTGGTCATGATATGAAGATCCACCACTGTTACAAACCTCCATAATATCACTACCATTTCCATTGGACTGGCAATTCATCTTCATAGCACAATCTGGACCAAACTTTTCATCAGAATTGCAATAAAAGATATTAATGGAGTTGGATTGCCTGCCAAAGCATTGTCAATTTGGATATTAGTAATCTATAAAAGCTCATAAATAAAATATACAAAAACTAAAGCAAGCAAAGCCAGCATGCTAGCGCACTTAACTGCATTGATGAGGCAGCGCCATTGTCAATGCCTAGACAGACACTTGAATGACTATCTTGGTCCTCAACATCTATTAGTCGAAGCTTCTTTCTGGAATGTAGAGAGTGAGTGTACTCGTGAACCGGTCCTGATGACGAAACCATGGCCTGGACAATTTATTTAGATGTTACCAGGATGAAATTTAACTGAAGAAAGGAATAAGAACCACTAGAACAGAAACAAGAAGCACAAAACATCCAAGCAACTTAGAAGATCCATAGATAAGGAATCATCGTGGTCACACGTCACAAGGCCCAAAACTTATTGGGGATTCGGCTAAAGCAGTAAAGCAACAACTATGAAAATTAATATCGCGGAAATAAAGGATCGATCGTTAGTAACATTGGCACCATTATTGAAATTAATATTAACTGGGATAAAGAAAAAAATCCGATCAATATATACAGGAGATGTATTTTTACATGCATATATACATTTTTATATATTTATAAGAACAAAAGATTGATGACAAATACAGGAGAAGCACTGGATGATTAACAAATAGGGATCCGCGAGTCTTAGATCGGAAATAGAAAATCGGCTAACCTATAAAGAAATTAGGGTTACAGTTAAAAGTGGCAGTCCGTAGCAGCCTACCAGGTGTCCGTGCGGGACTTGCCGAAGAAGACAAACAACAAAACGGCCGGATAAGTTTCCCTATTTCCCCTTTGCCGGCCACCTCTCTCTCTCTCTCTCTCTCTCTCTCTCTCTCTCTCTCTCTCTCTCTCTTTGCAAGCGGAAAGGGGAAAAAGACGTAAAGAAATTACAGCAATCACGAAAACTTGCGAATTTGCGTTTGGGATATTTCCATAGCCTGCTTTTAGAGGGTGATTCGACAGGTTATATGGTTTTAACAATTTTTTAGTTTTAATTACTCGGAAAAAAAAAAAAAAAAAAAAAAATTACTTCATTTGAATATGAGGTTATTAAGAACAAGGTGATTTAATAATATTTAAAAAAAATAAACAATTTATTCTTATTTTTTATTTTATAAATTACTTACCTACTTGTTTTTATCTATTTTAATTTAAAATATATAATAATAAAAATTTATAAATCAAATTTTTACAAAAGTAACTATTTACTTTTTATAATAAGTATTTTGTAAAAATGAAAATTACTTATTTTTCAAACACAAATTTATCCGTCTTAATAATTTGATTGAAAACATTTTTCATAATAATTCTCAAATATCTATAAATATTTACAAAATAATAGTAAAAATAATTGTGAATCCTATCATTTATTTACTTTTAATAGTTAAAAGGTATCTTATAATGTAAACAAATATTTTTGTGGTTAAAATTGAACAAATAATTTTTTTATAAATTATTATACAGTAATCTTCATAATTAAATTTTATTACAACATAAAATCATTATAATGCTTATTACTTGGTACTAAAATTAAACTAATACTTTTAATAATTCACTTCAATTCTATAAATATATAAAATTATAAAATTAAATAATTAGCTATAACAATTGCATTTTACTTGCATAAAATTTAATTGTGTGAAGTGTTCAATACACTTGTTTTAACATGGGTTAATATTTTTTTTTTGTTTTATGCTAAAAATATTATATGAATTTTAAATTTATTGTAATAATAAAATATTTATCTCATACAAAAATTATAATAATCTCGTTAAAATTTAATACATTTTAATCACTGTAAAATTATTAATATACTAAAAAATAACTTTTTATTTTTAAAAAATCAAACATTACATGTGAATTACTATTAGCAAATAATACGCTCATAACTGATGAATTATACAATTTAAATGAGGACCCGGAACTATAAGAAAAATAAATTCATAAATTTAATGCGAAAACGATTGATAGAGTTAGGTTTTAAATTTATTTCACAATAATTTAGAATGTCTAATATTATTAGAAGAATGTCAATCCTAAAATATAAGCGGAAATTAAATAAATAAAACAAAAAGCGAATACTAAACATCATATGACAACCTTTACTAATGCTTGAAGGGAGTCTGTCTAGTGAACTATTCACAACTTTCTAACTGATCGGCATCTGGATCTTGGTTCTCTTGATCTGAAATAGTTAATGAAATGGTGAGTTATACTAGTGTAGTAAGAGTATCACACTAATTACATATACGAAAAATTAAATATTGGTAAAAATCATAAAATAACTAATGTAGCACTTAATTTGAGTAAATTCATTTAATATAAAGAAGACCGTTTATTTCGAACTTACCTTAACGAGTTTTCCAAAATAATCTATGAAAACTCATATTCATATCACTATTCATTTTCACACATAAGAGAACAATAAATAATAACTTTCATTCATTATCTGCTTATTAATATCCTTGGGGGTCCATATGGGTGCCCCCCTACTCGTGAACCCAATAATTAACTTTAACAATTAATCAGTCGTCCCCATATCCCGTCCAGTAATGGGCACCAAACATTTCATTGTCTCGATATCCCGTCGGGTATAAAGGTGAATTATATATCTCAAACATTTTCAATAAGGGACTTCTCAGCCTCGTCTGACGGAGATAACATTCACGGTAGGGTTTCATATGTACTGGGTCCATTTGCTTTTTCTCTGGGTACCCAGTAAATCTTTCACATATAAATTTTTATCAATAAACAATTAACAACGCATACCAATATCTTATATCACATTCACAAATCAATTGAATTATATTAATGCTGACAGTATATAACTAAAATAAATAGATAAGTCGATAAAACTATTGAATCTATAAATTAAGAACATGTACTATAAAAAAATCAAACAAGTATGACAGTATAAGAAAATAAACAAAAAATCAAGATAATTGTGAATTAACCGGTTCCGATTCCGATTCCACTAGTGACATGTAATTATTTTTAGAGTTTTTTAAATTTTTATAAAACATGAAGTTGTACATCGTTAAACCTCAATTTATTGTAACGGATAATAGGGTGAGGGATCCTTACCCGGATTTGTTGTTTGAGATGTCAAACCATCTATTACGTCTCCTAACGAGTATCGAATTCTCTGAATTTTTTATGTGAAATTTAAAGTATTCGTCCCACACCTAAAAATACCTAAAAAATTCAAAATCGGTGTCAAAAACTCATTTTGGCCAATTTTTGGGATTCCGACACGGCGCTGCCGCTGTGCTCTGACAACAGCTCTGTCGCCCATAGTGGCGATTTGCCTCGGCCTAACCGGTTTTTGGCTAATTTTGACTAGTTTTGGTCGTATTCCTTGAAAAAAACACGTTAGGTGCCTCGATTGGATAGAAAATCTTAAAGAAAAGTGAACCTACCAGTAAGGAGACCTCCGGGTGCAGTGGCTCTGCCAATCCTCCATCGTGGTTGAGATTTTTTTTTTGGTACCCTGCACAAAAAAGGACGGTGAGCACAATGATTGAAAATTTACGTGAAATGAGAATCGGAAAAGAGCTCATCGGATGAGTTTTGGGATTTTAATTGCGGTAGCTCTGACGGATTTTGCTTGCGGTTTTCGGCTCACCCATCATTCCTCTTGCTCCGATTTGGCCATAAGAGTACTCGAAATCGAATTCCAAATGGGTATAAATTTTTTTTTACCTTTTTCGGCGGTCGGTGGTCGGCCTTTTTATTTGGCATCTGGTTCATATTCTCTGGCGGGGGCTGGCAGCTAGGGTTTAGATTTTCATGTGATGAGAAGTATTATAACCATTCCGCGTTGATCTAGATCGTCCATCACGATCGATTTTATTTGTTCGATCGCGTTTAAGGAGGAAACGAATCTGAACTGTTCGTCGCGATTAATCTCGACCATCCAATTTTGCCTAAGGTGGAACGGATCTAGACCATCCATACACATGGGATCGATCCTGGGTCGTCCGATTGCGGGGCACGTGGATTGCCAACGTGACCTCCTGTGTGGCACTGACGTCAACGCGCCTAGCCACACGGCACGTTCCAGTTCGTCGAGACTACTGATTGAGTGGTCCTACGTGATCGAACGTTCTCTATTTGTATTTCAATCCCCTATTTTTAATTTTTTTTCAAAAATACTCCATCAACTCAAATTTTCATATCTTCTTCCCAAAATTATATTCAATTTGGTCCCTAATTAATTTGTTCTCAAAAATTCATTCAAAATAAAATAAAATAAAAATTTTTAATTATTTATTTATATATTCCATAACCCAAAAAAATATTCCAAATAAATTTTTAGGTTCGGGTGTTACACTCTTACTCTTAAAAGAAATTTGGT